ATTAAATCGTGGTCTTACTGAAAGGCCTGTATCTTGGATTATGGACAGTTCAACTAACAATGTTTGTCTATGAATTGGCAGCCAATGCATTCTGCACTCTGAGCTAGCCATTTTGTAAAATCTTAAGTACAAAACAGAATTCAGTTTTTAATGAGAAGAAAATCATTCATTTGATATATAGACTTTTCATACCCTGTCATCTTTTGTAAGGTTTGCTTGCTTTTCAAAGAACATTTAAGTTGCCAGTGTCTCTGACATATGTCTGTATTATATATTCAAACACAAACATAATAGACTTGATTTCAGTGAAATTCTCCTTTAAGAAAAATTTCTTGAAAGATAGTACCCTTATGCATTCTTCCTCCCACCAAAGGCTACATAATGTTTGTCAGGCTTAGAATGCATATATTTCTTAAAGAAGTAAAATAATGTGTATGAAATAGCAAAACGACATACTTTTCCACTAAACAATATTATATTTAAGGAGTTTTTAATATGGTTAAATAAACCAAGCAATTTTCCTTTTAACAAAGAAATTTAAAAAGTGAAAAATTATGAGTGTATCTCTTGTCAAAGTGATGAGAGTCAAGGGTTAGTGTCTTATTTAAGGGACATGAGAACATGTATAAGTTGAGAAAAAGAAGAGTAAAATTAAATGAGGGATATAAGTATCTCTGCTTAATGACTTCAATACAAAGTACAACTTGTTTTACTTGCTTGTGTTATCCACTAGTTCCTAAGTGGATTTGAATTACCATGTTTTTCAAAATTTAACAGTTGTTTGTTTAATTTTGAAAAATACTACTTAAATATTTTACTATTAGAAATATCACTAATATTAATGAAAATAAGTAAGACATAATTTCACTGGCAGTGTCTGATATTTTAATGTCTTCATGAATATTTGATCATATTAATTTAAAGAATCTTTGGTTGTTGTATTATAGTCCATTCATGTTTTAAAAATTCACCTTTTGAACAACCACAGATTTATTACATATATTTATAAGCTAAAATTATGTTTCTGATGTTTTAACATAAATTTTGAGTTGACCTTTAACAGTTATTCAAAATTTATTTAGGACATGACAGGATGTCCTTTGTAGCCTATGTAGTATACATATATATATGTATGTATATGTATATATATATATAGTCCCACACACATCTATCCTTTTTAAGTGTTGATACTGACATGAACAAAAACAGTATACCTTTTAAATGTCTTTAGCTTGTCAGGCAAAGGAAATATTTGTGAACAGCATATTTGATTTTAATAGGAGAAAAAAAAAGAAGAAAAACACCATGGTTCTTAAAATAGGGAGAAGATAAAAAGGGGGAAATTACTTCAATTATGGAAGAAAACTGGCTGAAGATTTAAATTTAGTGTCCAAAATTAAATGATGTGTTATTTTGGCAGTACAAGAAAACAATCTGAGGGAAATGTTCATAGGTAAATGTACCTTTGGACATTAATCAGGTGATTTCAATGCAAAGAAATCATACAAAATAGAAATACAAAATAAATAAGAAATAAAAGCATACAAATTAAATAAGCATACAAATAAAATAGTCCTCTCATCCCCCAAAGTATGTTAGGACTATGGACATTTTTCCTATTCTACTGAAAAGAAAAACATACATAGGAACAAAATGGTTACATTTCTTTGTCAGAATGTACATACACAGATAGGCAATATACATTATATACACATGTGTACATAATTATGTCTAAATTGTCAAAGTTCTTGGTAATATCATTTGGGAAGGATGGGCCTGTGCATAATTTTTAGTGAAACATATTTTCAGAACTACTGTAATCATATTGATAATATTCACATCCTAAGAATTGGCATTTTGGTGTTGTTAAGTCAATAAAATGGGCTGAAGCGATGGCTCAGGGATTAGGATCACTCCCTGCTTTTGCAGAGGACCTGGATTCAGTTCCCAGCGTGGTCATTTACAGCCACCTATGCTTACAGTCACAGAAGATCCATGACCTATTCCAACCTCCCTGTTTGTGGGGCTCCTCTATCTGTGTGGTTCATGTATATACACTCAGACAAAAATAATAAATACATAAATCTTTTAAAAGGTTAAATCAGTGAAAATGCTTTCATAATGATTTGGCATTTTATATGTGTAAAGGAAGTAATTAATTTGGTGATGTAATTTGCATAACTTATTTTGGTCCTAAGTCCTTCAGTGAAAATGGTAAAACTGGTTTTCATATGTTTTCTGTGATTCCTATTATTAAAATCTGGGACTAAAAACTAGCAGTTTGTGAGATATGAACAGATTTCTAAAAAGAGTCTTAAGCAGTGTATTGACTCAAAATTCTTGAAGTGTGATTACTAATTTGTGATACTTCATAGGCTGGTAGGATTTCCATGGTGCTGGCACTTTCCTTCCTCTAGGTTAATATTCCCCTAGGTTAATTTGTGACTCCTCATGTTCAGATGGTAGAAGGAGTATTCTCTGAAGAGATACTTGTTTGTAATTATAACTTTATAATGATCGCTCATAGATTTATAGATATAAGCATATACCATGGAGCTTCAATTTAAGGTTTTTTTCCAGCAAATCTATATGACAACACTATTTATCTATACATTTGTATAGAATCTTGGTGTTTTAGCTTAAAAACTTACTCTATTAAAATGAAAGAGTTTAGGTAAAGTGAGCTTATACTTTTAGGTCTTTGAATCTCTCCCAGGCCTTGTGCATATAATGACTGGGCTTGTCTCTAAGGTCTTATACTTTATAGTCTCTGTTAAAATGAATTTTTCTAAGAATGTTTATGATTTATATGTTATAATAGAAATGTACCCATGTTTGTAAATGATGTAAAATATAATCATATATGGATTTTATATATAAACTTTCTAAAATAGTTATCTCAACAGGCACCATTATCAAGCTTGGAAACATTAATGGTCTCACAGAAGTCTGAAATCGAGTATTTACAGAAGAAACTGAAAATGGCAAATGAGAAATTGTTGGAGAATAGATCTTGTGACCAGAGTTTCTCAGAGAAGAGTATTGAAGGAAGACACAAGGTAGAGATGTTTTATCATCTTAGTCACATGTCAGGGGGAGGTTAGCAAGACAGCGGAGGAAGTAAAAAAGGGAAAGGGAAGCATTAATGCCTTTCCTTATGTATTTTGAAACTAAAAACTTTAAATTTTTTTTTTTGTTGTTAAGGATTCCTTTTCTACCAAACACGGTTTATTGTAAAATGTAGTTACCTAAGTTCCTAATTTTTAAGTAAAAGAAAAAGTATATGATACTCATTTTTGGTTCCAGCATGATATGTAAAGTATAGAACGTATGGAATATGAAATACTAAGATATTGCAACGTTAATTTGTTTTCTAGAGAGTCAGAGCATAGCAATAAAGATCAAAGAGCACATTTTACACGGGAGATTTCTTTAAACCCTCTGCTTTTTCTTTCCTATCTGGTATGCACTATACATTTATGTCATGCAGCAGAATGTACTATGGAGTTTACTCATAGGAAACATAGGACGGTTAGAGATAAACTGCAGTAACTTTTCTCCCGAAAAGTAAGGCGTTTTAGACATTTTTTCCCCCTCACACCTGTTACATCAGAAGAGTGTTTTGTGTAAGCAAACACTGCTGAGGGTGAATGTCTGGGTTCTATCCAGTTTCTTCCCTTTTGTATGATTAGAACAGGCTGCCTTAATAAAGAAAACATTTTAAATCAGACTGATTGTTGTAGCTGTGGAACTCTTACCTATCTTATAATATTGTTAATAATTTCCAGAAGCATGGATCTTTATTTATTTATCATAATATCATTATCTTTTGCAGCAGTTTTTCATGCGTTATTTAAGTGAAAGAAAATATTCATAAGATTAAAAACCAAATTTGGTTGTTTGCTCTGAAGTTTGAAAATATGCTATTTTGATCTCCAAAGCCAAGGAAAGGAAGAACAGGTGTATTTTAAACATTTTCTTTTTATTTTTTATAAGGACATGCATAAAAGTGGAACACTGCTGCCCAGCTTTATAGTCATTTCCTTGCATTCTGTCTCCAGATTGGTATATGGAGCTACATAATATAAACACACATTCTTGTCTCTAGTTAGCCACATTACAGTTAATGACCATATGGTCATTATGGTATAAGATCTACTGTCTGTTGTATTTATATTCCTCAAGCATATTGTTCCTTCAACTTCACAGTGTGTTAAACTATTTCAAAGGGGAAAAAATCCTTTCCCTCTTGTTTCTGGTTGTCCTATCAAGTGTAACCTTGGACCCTTATAGAGCAATTAGACCAGCCTCTATCCCCTCCTTTGTAATGAGGTTTCTTGCATTTCTGAGTCTATAACCCTTTAGTCTTCCCTAATGGGACATCATTATTCTGAAAGAAACAATGTAAATGTAAATGAATATTCTCATTAACGAGTCACAGAGAAACCTTTAGCTGTAGCACTGTGGTAATTCCGCTTGTTATTTCTCGGGTATTCCATGCAGGACTTTTTTTTTTTTTAATTCATTATTAGTATTCAAAATTACTTGTTCTTTAATTTTGCATGTCTTTCATAATCCAGTGTTTCAGCCAGTTCAACCATGTCCTTGTTTTATTCTCGAGGAACCACCTGTGAAACGTTCAAGGTCTTTGTCCCCAAAGAACTCTTTCATGGACTCTGAGGAGCTAAGGAAGCTGAAAAAAGCTGAAAGAAAGATTGAAAGCTTAGAAAAGACACTACAGCTAAAGGTGAACTTTAAGCCATTTTTAAAATCATAACCATGAAAAGATAACTAAACAGAACAAGTATATAGTTCACAAGTTACTGCTTGCTGTCATTTCTTTCTGAATTTAATTCTCATATAGAAACAGGCAGTCTTTAAAACAGATTTCCTAGGATTATAAAGTAGGAAGAATTTAATGCTTGAAAATGAAATAGGAATTCATTAAATTTCAAATAAAATTGGGAATAAATTTCAGACATTATTTTAGATACAAAAATACAATACTATATGTAGTAGAAAAAGAATGTTCTGTTGTTCATTACATATGATAAATGTTTTAAGACTAAATTGGGCTAAACATAATCACTTCACTCAGGTCACTTATAAATGGTGTATTAGTTAATTTTCTTAGAGAGGAAACACTGAACATGGAATGATAGTCTGAGACCTCCATCCATGGGATGGTAGTGCTGTTTTCATTCAGAGTGTATGTTCCCTCTTCACCTGAACCTCTCTGGACATCACCTCATAGACATACCATAGTCTGTCTCCTGGGTGACTCTAAATCTGATGAATTTGATAATGAAGATTACCCATCATGAAAATAAGATAGAGCTGGAAATGTAGCTCAGTGGCAGAACACTTACCTACTGTGTGCAGAGCCTTGGGTTCAAGCCTCAAATCTGCAAAAACAACACAAAAGCAAACACAATGAAAATACCAAGTAAATATGTTATGCATCATTTTTTTTACATTTCAGCTGAATTTATTACAGAACAAAGAGGTATTTAAATTTATTCTTTGCCATCTTATACCTCATTACCTTGTCTTTGAGAGCACATACTTTCTAATTAATATTTAGTGAGCTTTTATTAGGAGAGGAAGTTGTTAGTTATATTAGTTATAGTTACATATATATATATTACATAGTTAATTATATAGGTATATATATGTATGCATGCATGTATGTATATGATTATATATTCATCCATATTCTATTTTCATATGTGATAATTTATATTAAATTGTGATTGACTCACAGAGTTATAGAGGTTGAGATGTTTTAGATTGTAGTTAGGAACTAGAGATCTAAGAGAGCCAAAGGTATAGTTCCAATGTGAGACCTAAAGTTGTAGAACCAGGATTCATTGTGTAAATTCATGTGTAAGTCTCAATTTGTGTCCAAAGATAAAAAGAAAATCAGTATCTCAGCTCAGAGATGGTCAAGCAGAGAGAAAAATCTTGTTTTTTATTGAGATTTTTAAGAGATTGAGGAATGATATCTGTTTCAGTTAGTATATATTTTTGCTATGAACACAGTACCAGATATATGTACTTAAAACAGAAAAGAGATTTCTGTAGGGTACCTGTTCCTTCACATGGAGGCCTATGACAGGACAGGCTGCTAGGAGGATATGGGGTTATATTAGGTGAAGACTTAGCAGTGGGGGTCATGGAAGAGGCCACCTACTAACCAGACAGACTCCCAGTGGAGGAAGGGGAACCGCAACCACTCACAAAAACTATGACCCAAAATTTACCCTACCTACAAGAAGGATTTTAAAATATTTTGTTCTGACTTCTTGTTTTTTAGGGTATTACTCATTGATATATTGTGAAATTTTGTCATGGCCTTTGAGTGATCCTATCCTGGAAACACATATTTAGGTCTCCCCAAATAAATCCCCCAATGAGAAAATACTTTCATGGAGTTTTTATAGTAGCAGAACAAAGAAAGTTATAACTTAGAGCATTTTAAAAATACATTGGTGGGAATAGTAAGTGGGCTGCTAACAACTGGCCGAGAAATATCAACTAAAGGCCTCAAATGGTATCTCATAGAATTCTTTCTTAGCATTTCGGTAGAGAATGGGGTTTTGTTAATACATCTCTAAGATTGTTAACTGTTAATCAGAATATTAGATCAGACTCCATGGTGGCCAAGAAGACTCTTTAGGATGTTAAAGTTAGCCCAAGAGAATCAGATCAAAGATATTCCAAACTGTGTACTCACTGAAGTTTTTATCAGCACATGGACCTATAAAAACAGATCCTAGGAATTCTTCAAACCAAAGGCCATTATTAAGGGGTATCAAGACAGTAACCTGGAGCAGAATTCATGGAGAACAGCTATTTGCTTATCAGATAAAGGCTCTTATGTAGCTAGCTTTCTTTTTGTAATTTGAGACTATCTGCCTAGGGATGGTTTTATCCACAGTGGGCTGTACCTTCTTTTATCAGTTAAGAATCAAGATAATCCTACACAGTCCTGTCCACAGGCCATATCTGTCCTCGAAAATTCTTTATTCATGGCTTTCCTCTCACCAGCTGTGTCAAGTTGATTGGGCATAAAGTTTATGCGTATTTTTAATAACTCTGATAATATGAAATTTCTACATTTTGATAAAATTAAGTACCCCTAATGCAATCCTTGAAGATTCATTACTATTTTTTTACTCAATTGGTTATTATAGACAGAAGAGAGCACTTAAAGTTGGGAGGGGCCATGGAGCAGTGGATTTAGGAGGAGTTAGAGAAGGGAAGTAGGGGTGATTATGATTGAAATATCTTGTATGCACATGTTGAAGGGTTAATAAGCTGAAAGCCTCAGGAAGACTAAGAAGCTGTGGACAACAAATTTGACTTGATTGATAACACCTGTGGAAGTTAGTGATGAGATCAACATGCCAAGCTCTGTTCTTAGGTACTACGTTGACACTAAAGGGGTACTGGCCCTCAGATAGAATATTTTCTTTCACTTTTAGTATTATTATTGTTTACAATTTATTCACTTTGTATCCCAGTTGTAGCCTCCTCCCTCACCTCTTCCTGGTCCCACCCACCTTCCCCCTTCCTTTCCTATCCCTCTCTCCCCTAGTCCACTGATAGGGGAAGTCCTCCTGCTCTCCTGTGTGGCCCTAGTCTATCAGGTCCTATCAGGACTGTCTGCATCCCCTTCTTCTGTGGCCCAGCTAGGATGCCCAACCAGAGAGAAGTGATCAAAGAGCAGGCAACAGAGTTCATGTCAGAGGCTGTCTCTTCTCCTCTTACGAGGGAACCCACATGGAGACTGAGCTGTCTGTGGCCTACATCTGAGCAGGGGGTCTAGGCCTTCTCTGTGTGTGGCCTTTGGTTGGTGCATCAGTCTCTGCAGTGCCCTCCACCCTCCACTCTGCATTTTGTGGCTCTGTTGGTCTCCTTGTGTGGCTCTTGTCTCCTCCAGGTCTTTTTATTTTTCCCTTCTTCCCTAAGACTCCCGTTCTTAATATCCAGAATCTGGAAACAACCTAGAGGTTGAAGAATGGATACAGAAATTGTGTTACATTTACACAATGGAATACTTCTCAGCTATTAAAAACAAGGAGCTCATGAAATTTCCAGGCAAATCGATGGAACTAGAAAAGATCATCCTGAGTAAGGTATCCCAGAACCAGAGAGACACGCATGGTATATATCCACTGATAAGTAGATATTAGTCATATTATATAGGATAAACATAATAAAATCTACAGACCTAAAGAAGCTAAAAAGCAAGGGGACCCTAGGTAAGCAGTAGAAGAGAGGGAACAGGGCAGGAGTCTACCACAGATGTCCTCTAAAAGACTCCAACCAGCAGGGGGTCGAAGCAAATACAGAGACTCATAGTCAAACTTTGGACAGAGTGTTACAGATTTTTCCACCCTTCACCCAGTTCCCAATCTTGTGCCTCTGGTAGTTACCAAATGTATCATTGTCTATACTTGAATTTGTTATATGAATTGTGGTGGCAATATACCCCTGCTAAAATGCTATTATTTTCATTTTCACTATTATACATGGATTAGCATTTAACAAATTAGAATTAAATGTTTTATTTGCACACGTGAGGCTATAAAATGTCTTTGGTTATTTATTTTCACTGTATTTTTAGAGGTAATCATCTTTTGACATACAATCTTAGATTGTATCTGCTTTAAAGTATTGAAATAGGAAAAATGAAACATAGCCTACATTTAAATTTTTATAACATTTTATTTCTACTTCTAAAGGAAGACATAGGAGTTTCATAGGATCAAATATGTGGATGAAAGTATATTTAAATATTATCATTAATTATGTATATTATGTTGATTTATAAACTTTGGTATAAGTTCATTTTTTAATAGTTTAATATCAAGACTTTATAAGAATTATATAAGCACAGGAATATTATACATCAATGAAGAGGCAAGGTAAGATTAAATTAAACAAGCTTCATTGTTCTCCTATCTCTTACTATTTTATATACAGACTTTAATTACCATAGGAAAGCAAAAAAAAAACTTACAAAAATTTGTCAAAAATTAATTGGAAAATAAGAGATTCTTGGGGATAAATTTGATACCATGAAGAATAATTACAGCAAGCTTTTGTAGAAGATTTCTATATATTTTAAGTGTTAACTTAATTTTGAAAAGTATTTAGATCTTAATCTCTTACAAACATTTCTTTTTTTCTCTATCTCTTTTTTATTTTTTTTACTATTAATTACACTTTATTCACTTTGTATTCCTCCATAAGCCCCTCCCTCCTCCCCTCCTGATCCCACCCTCCCTCCCCCTTCCTCATGCATGCCCTTCCCCAAGTCCACTGATTGGGGATGTCCTCTTCTCCTTCCTTCTGATCTTAGTCTATCAGATCACCTCAGGAGTGGCTGCGTTGTCATCTTCTGTGGCCTGGTAAGGCTGCTCCCCCGTCAGGGGGAGGTGATCAAAGAGCAGGCCAATCAGATTATGTCAGAGGCAGTCCCTCTTCCCTTTACTATGTAACCCACTTGGACACTGAACTATCATGTGCTACATCTGTGCAGGGGTTCTAGGTTATCTCCATGAATAGTCCTTGGTTGGAGTATGAGTCTCTGGGAAGTTCCCCGTGTTCAAGTTTTCTGGTTCTGTTGCTCTCCTTGTGGAGTTCCTGTCCTCTCCAGATCTTACTATTTCCCACTTCTTATATAAGATTCCATGCACACTGCCCAACAGTTGGCCATAAGTCTCAGTGTCTGAGACTTGATTGTCTGCAGGGCAGACACTTTCAGAGGCCCTCTCTCTTGCTTAGTTTCTTTAGATATACAGTTTTTAGTAGATGTATACTATGTTATGTCTATATGAGTGAGTATATACCGTATGTGTCTTTCTGCTTCTGGGACAGCTCACTCAGGATGATCCTTTCTAGGTCCCACCATTTACCTACAAATTTCATGATTTCCTTATTTTTCATTGCTGAGTAATACTCCATTGTGTAGATTAAATTACTTTATTTATTAAGAAATGTTGCCATAGCTTTTAAAATTCATAGTAAGTGAATTGATATTTAGTTAGTTTAGTAGCTGTAGTATGAACAATTCAAGTTTTAGGTCATTCTTTATGCTCTAGAAGAGATATAAATAGCTTCTATTGTAAAGATGAAGAAACTTAAACACACTAAATTTAAATGTCTGTCACAAACTGAAAAGTATTTAAAATTTTAATGGCTTTTTTAAGTATTAAAGTATGCTTCCTTTTAACAAATTTGCAGTAGTTATTGGAAAATATTCTAAAGCTCTGTTAGTACTTTTTCTGAACACTCCAGGCAAGTAATGCCATTTTGTGCCTTTTTTTTTCTTTATCAATATTTTTTATTTTCCTATGGTGTAAAACAGTTCTTGGTATAAACATGATTCCAATACTTCTGATAGCCATTTAAACGAATTATACTAGAAGTATAATAAGAAGAGAGTGAAAAAGTATTCATCCTCGTGAGACAGAATTGAAATAAAATAATGCAAACTATAAGTATTATTTTCCAATTTAGATGAGAGGTAAGTAACCAAGAAAATAGTGAATTCTAAAGGATAAGTGCATCACTGTTAATACCTGGAGAAAGGATAATAAAAGATGTTCAGTTTTGCTGTGTCTGCCTCTGAAAAGGCCCTCTGCCATTCTTCTGACTGTACATCTTTGTTTTCTATTCTGTGTTTTGTAGAAAAAGAAGCTGAATTTGGTTGGGTTTTTAAGTTCATGCAGGTAATAGAAAAATCTCTCCGAATGCAATTCAACTGAGTGGCAAATGCCTACTCATTTTACATCACTACAAGCTCGAGAGAGCATGTGTCTTCTAGCAATTCATTGTAGAAGTTCATCATACAATAAAATGAGCATGATTTTAAAGGTTCATACTTGTATTTTATGAATGTGTTTTTGCCTACATGTGTGTGTATGCACGCAAGTATACACAAGTATGTGCATGTATTCCTGCATATGTGTGTGTGCGTTGTGTGTGTGTGTGTGTGTGTGTTAGGTGCCCACAGATGCCAGAATGAGATGTTAGATCGCATTGAACTGGAGTCGCAGATAGTTATGAGCCTTCATGTGTGTCTAAGCACTCTTAACTTGCTGAGCCCCCTCTCCAGTCCCTGAATGCTTTTTTTTTTCTTTCTCCCAATTGAAGATCTCACGGGGAACAAAAGCTCAGGAAGTTACCTGTTTTAAGAAACACAGTACATAAGTAATACAGTAACAAATACAATTTCGTAGGAGCAGCAGATTGGACTTTGTGATATGACTATACCTTATAAATAGTTCCCTCGTTTGCCACATACTTCAAAACCACTAAGCTTATTTCTCACTGTCCAGTCTTTATGGTAGAACCTAAATGTTAAATTACATTGTTTATAGTATATGTCCATCCTTTGTTTCTGCCCCTTGTGAATTCCCTGTGTTTATTACCTATAAATTTTAGATCCATGGTGTTAAGAGTTGTTCCTATTATGATTAATGTCCTTACATTTTAATAAAATAATGTTCATAATATATATATGTATAGACAAATCCTTTTGTGTTGATAAAGAAAAAATATAAAAGTTTCTTAAATGTATGAATATTTGTATGTCTATGAACTAATAACAAGAAAAATAATTTGACAGAAAAAATTGATGCTATATGAAGTGCACAAAAATTCAGTGAGTCGATTGAATTGATCGAGCAAGCTGTTCTCTGACTAGAGGGAAAAAACGGTTTTGGCTTAAATAAGTATTGTAAATGCACTCCTGGTTACAAGTTTCATCTCTAGATGAGTAATTCTCAAAGCATTATATCAGTAGTTTTTCATATTTGTATACTTGCTTTTTTGTGTTCTATAGAGCCAAGAAAATGATGAGCTAAGAGATGCCCATGAAAAACGCAAGGAAAGGCTACAGATGTTGCAAACCAACTACAGAGCAGTAAAAGAGCAATTAAAACAGTGGGAAGAAGACAGTGGCATGTGAGTTACATAGCTCATAAAGGCATTTTTCTAAATATTAAATGGATTGGAGAGCATTATATAGGTGTTTAATGGCTTTTGTTTGGTTTTAGAGAAATTATTTGGTAGTCAAAGCTTTACTGTGAATATTTTAGTGGAGAACATAACAAATGAAAACAGAAAAATGTGCTAGCCATAACTATAGATTTTCTTATCATTTACAGCTGTCATTGGCAGAAGGTGATTATGAGTAGTATATGTCTTTACTATCAATAGAAGAGTTTAATAAAAGTCTGTAAGTCAAAGCAAAACCAGTTAATATCCGTATTATTGAAGAACTGCTTTTAAATAAATAAAATACCTGTGTTAAAAATTTTATAACCCCCAAACTATTTACATTTTAATGAGAAGACCGTAGAAATATGAAATCTACGTGTATAGTTAACCACCGTCAAGCTATTTCAACCTAGTCTGCAATTTGAAGATCTTTACTATCTATCAGTTTTTTAAACTTCAGCTTATCTGAATGAATTGGCAGTCTCAGTTCAATTGCCCTGAACAGGTGTTCAGATCTTGGTTAGTAGGAAGTTGCTCCCCTGTTAACAGTATCAGCAGAGGGCAAAGGACTGAATGAGTATAGAAAATCTACTTCCCTCCCACTTTGAGATGGAGCCTTTAGGGTGCTGTTGATGATACACATTGGTCTGTTCTGTAGATAAGTAGTTTCTAAATTGGCCAGTACAGCAGTTTTAAAAACTAAAAGGGAAGTTTGTTTTATGAACAGAAAATGATACTATAAAGGGCATTTAGCCTAGCTTGTAGATAATTGTCACATCTAATTTTTTCCTTTGATGAATAGGAAATGTTTCACATCGTGTCTCAGTAAACCAGTGATGAAGCAGCTTTCCCTAGCTTTAACCTCTGCTCACCCAGCTTGCAGTGATAACTACAAGAATGCAATCTGCTTTCTGACATAGTCACTATTAATAACGTGTCTGTGATAGGGCATCTTTACCACATGCAGATTGGATGTCAGCAAATTCTAGATGAATCAATTGCTGTGACCTTTTTTTTTGTAGACTTATAATCCTACAGTGTATGTTTTATTACTATTATACTAGAATGAATGAGAGAAATAAACCCTTAGGTTTATTAATATCTTATGTCTGCTTAAAAGTTTGCTTTTCATGGTAGCAATTTCACTTTAGAAAATTGTGATATAGGAGTTTAATTTTTACATACTTAGGTATTAGGAAAGTCATCCAAGAAATAGTAAAATTAAATTAGTAATTGAGATTTGGTCATTAGATCTGAATTTTAAGGAATGTATAAATAAACTTTTATAGCACTTTAAATATGCTGCAAATTTTTTATTTTAAAAATAGGACTGAAACCAGAAAAGTGAAGCGAGCAGAACCTCACCAACTTCGACAAGAAGATTCTGATGCTGTGTGGAATGAACTGGCATATTTCAAAAGAGAAAACCGGGAGTTGTTGGTTCAAAAGTGAGTTTCTTTTAAACAACAAAAAAATTGTATAAATAATCTGAGAATTTTTTCGTTATTCAAACTCTATTAGAGAAACACATTTAAAAATGGAAAATGAAATTACCTGAGATTTATAAATAAAACCATATGTATGTGTGTTTGTGTATGTATATGTATATATAATCATATATATATATATATATATATATATATATATATATATATATTCATACAATAACAGTTGCACATTTGCTAGCTCTAACAGAAACTGTATAATATGATCTAGGGATTGTGTTAATTAATGTGGCTCTCATGTGTTGAGGGTGTCGCTCTTCATTAGCCTGTATTTTAGACACTGCCGTGCTTCATTTTTGGAATGAGGTGGAGAGGGGATAACCTAGCCAGCCATGCTTGTTTGATCTCCTAGATAGATACGCAATGCAGAATGCCTGAGCTCTCTTGGTTCCCTGCCCTGTCCTGCTAATCCCAGCTGAGCTCATTATGGTGTAGCCTTGCTGCTGCTCTTGGATCCAGAGCTGTCCAAGCTAATTACTGGTAGCAGCAGAACTGCCTGTTAAGGGTCTGGTGTGGATCTGCTAACATGGTCCTTGGTAGTGACCTGCAAAAGACACGAGGGAATTGTTTTCTTTCTTGCCTTGCACTACCTGTCCTTTGGGTTTAACGCTGATCCTCCACATAGGTCTTTTAGCTGCCCTAAGTATAAAACTTGATGACGGAGACTCATATTTTAGAAAACATACAGTTTGCTTGCTTGATCTTATAATTCGCAGGCTATTATATTCAGCTTGGCAAAGAAAGAATACTTTTTTGTTTTGTTTTGAGACAAAGAAGAGTTATACCAATACAATTAGCCTCTTCTTTTACTTAAATAGTTTTTTTTTATTTAGAGTGAATTTTATGACATGTGAGTCATAAAGTTTTTTTAAAGTCCAGATATTGTTTAGTTTGTTACAATTTAACATCTAGTGGCATATTGTACTTAATGCCATTGACTAGCTGTAAGCGGAAAGCTTCTTTATTTAAAATATGTGTAACTGTCGATTCTTATCGATATAATGATAAACTTTTGAGGAAATTACCATGTCAGATATAACTGTATATTCTCACCTCCTAAAATACAGTATTTTCTATTATAGCTGAATATTGATTGCTAATAATTAAGCTCTTAACATGAAAATTATTTTACAGGTTACATAAGTTTTTTGAACTAAATATGTCTTGATTATTTTAAATAGCTTTATTTAAATATAATTCAGAAGCCATATAATTCTCCCATATTACATATAATTCAAAGCATACTCAAAGATTTCTACCTATCATTACTGTTATTTTCAGAACGTTTTCATTGCCTATACAAGCAACCTTTCTATCTAGGTTTCCAACTGTAGGCAATTATATACTAATCTATTTTCTTTATAGATCTGCCTATTCTCAATTTTTCATATAATATCTGTAGTCACACTACTTTTCTTGATGACTGTATTTCCAAAACACATCTATATTGTAGCATGTGATGTACTGTGTTAATTTTGTATGAAGTGAGTTAAATGAGAGACCTACTGTAACTAGCTGTTAGAGCTAACCTACTCAAGAAAATTCAGGTAGATATCAACTATAAGAGATTGATTTGCTGCTGCTGCCTAGGACCTTGTTCAGGTCTGTGATGCTGCATCAGCCAGGGGCCATGTTGGTGTCTACGGCCTGTATTACCACAAAAGGCCACATGGATGCCCATGGTCTGTGCCACTGCCTGAAGGCATGTCGATATCCATGGACCATGATGCCATTTGGGCACCATCTCGATGTAAGTGCTCTGTGCTTCTACCTTAGGACATGTTGATGTCTGTGGTCTGTGCTGCCACCTCAAGACATGGTCCACTGGGGTGGGCCGCTGTTGAAGACCATATTGGTGACTGTGGCCCATGCTGCTCCTGAGGAGACTATGTTGATGTCCTTGGCCTGTGCTGTCACTGAGGGCTGTGATGCTGTTTGTGGCCTATGTGCCACAGAGGGCCATGCTGCTATCTGTAGTTGGTACTGCCATTGGAGACCATGCTGAAGTCCATGGCATGCTGATGCTGGAGACAGTATAGATGTCCATGGTCGGTGCTATTGCCAGGAATCATCTGGAAGTCCATGTTCTTTGTTCCCAATGCCTGTCAAGGGCACAGAAGCTAGTTTTGTGGTAGTATTGATGATCCAGACTCACAGTTGAGAGATTGGAACATAGAAGCCTTCTTTGAAACCCCTCTCCCTAAAAAACATAACAGCCTGGAGAAGAAGCCATTAAAGACAATTCTTAAAAATTTTGATAAAGATGCTGAAGTAGCATTCCACCATTGAAGTAGCTCTCCACAATTGATAGCTTCTGTCTGGGTTGTGGGTGGGGTAGCACCCAGTTTTTATTTTATTTTATTTTTATTTTTATTAATTGCAGTTTATTCACTTTGTATCCCAGCTGTAGTCCCTTCCCCATCTCCTCCCTCTCTCACCCTCCTTCCTTCTTCTTCTTCTATGCCCTTCCCCAAGTCCAATTATAGGGGAGGTCCTCCTCCCCTTCCACTTGACCCTAGTCTATCAGATCTCATCAGAACTGGCTTTTTTGACTTCCTCTATGGACTGGTAAGGCTGCTCCCCACTCAGATAGAGGTGATCAAAGAGCCAGCCTATGAGTTCATGGCAGAGACAGTCCCTATTCCCGTTACTAGGGAACCCTTTTGGACACTGAGCTGCCATGGGCTACTTCTATGCAGGGGTTCTAGGTTATCTCCATGCATGGTCCTTGTTTGGTGTAGCAATCTGAGAAAAGATTCCTGTGCCCAGATTTTTTGGTTTTGTTGCTCTCCTTGGGGGGAGCTCCTATACCCTCGAGATCTTTCTATCTCCCACGTCATTCATATGATTCCCTGTACTCTGCCCAAAGTTTGGCTATGAATCTCAGCATCTGATCTGATACCTGCTGGGTAGAATCAGAGGCTCTCTGTGAGGCTCCTGTCCTGTTCCCTGTTTTCTCCCTCTTTTGATGTCCATCTCATTTGCCTTTCTGAATGAAGACTGAGCATCTTACCCAGGGTCCTCCTTCTTGATTAGCTTCTGTAGGTGTACAGATTTTAGTATGATTATCCTATATTATATGTCTAACAACCACTTATAATTGAGTATATACTGTGTGTGTCTTTCTGCTTCTGGCCTACCTCACTCAGGATGATCTTTTCTAGATCCCACCATTTGCCTGCAAATTTCATGATTTATTTGTTATCACCTTGCACAAAACTAAAATCCAAGTGGATCAAAGACCTCAATATAAAAATGACACACTAAACCTGTTAGAAGAAAAAGTGGGGAGGAGCCTTGAACTCATTGGCACAGGAGACAACTTCCTGAACAGAAGATCAAAAGCACAGGCTCCAAGATCAACAATCAATAAATGGGACCTCATGAAACTGAAAGCTTCTATAAAGCAAAGGACACTGTTGTCAGAACAAAATGACAGCCTATAGTCTGGGAAAGAATCTTCACCAACCTTATATCTGACAGAGGGCTAATATTCAGAATATATAAATAACTCAAGAAGTTAAACAGCAACAAATCAATGCAATTAAAAAATGGGGTATAGAGCTAAACAGAGAATTCTTAATAGAGGAATATAGAATGGCAGAGAAACACTTAAAGAAATGCTCAACGTCCCTAGTCATCAGGGAAATGCAAATTAAAATGACCCTGAGATTTCATCTTAACACCAATCAGAATGGCTAAGATCAAAAACTCAAGTGACAACACATGCTGGAGAGGATGTGGAGAAAAAGGAACACTATTCCATTGCTGGTGGGAATGTAAACTTGTACAACCACTTTGGAAATCAATCTGGCTCTTTTCCAGACAATTAGGAATAGTGCTACCTCAAGATCCAGCTATAACACTCCTAAGCATATATACAAAATATGCTCAAGTATGCAAGGACATTTGCTCAACCATGTTCATGGCAGCTTTATTTTATTTTATTTTATTTTATTTTATTTTATTTTATTTTATTT